TTGATGATTTTGGCTCAACTTCGTCTATTTTTCGATTTTTATAATTTTTTTTAAGTTTTGCTGAACGTTCCTTTTAGTAAAGGCACACAATATTTAAACATTTTCATTAAAAATAAATTAAAATCGTATAGGTACATAATAGGTATATTTTTATTTTTTAAATTTCGTTTTGCATATTTTTTTCTTGGAATTTTTATCATACTAACCAAAATCAAAATCAAAATTAAAATTTTACAACTTATTAGGCCTTCACACTTAAATTTTAGATTAAAATGTATATAATATACTACTAGCGACCATGGCTTGGGTCGGAATCTATTAATGGGGCGTATTTCGATGTAATATATCTAACTATCAAAGACTTATTACTTTACATATTTTTCAACTTATCGAAAAGCCTAGTTTTTCGGCTAAAATAGCCTAGGTCATTCCTGGCTTTACTAGTCGTTCTGATGACTGGAAGAAGATTCAGACAGACAGAGAGACACACAATTTTTTTTAAATGTTTACTCATTTCTTGATAGTATACAAATAACACCAGATCAAAAAAGGCAGTTATGTCGATAGTACTGACGGACATTTCAATTTTATTTATTTGTATAGACTACATAAAATCGCCTGTGGCTGACAGACGAACGGAAATTAATTGAAATAATAACTTCCCTTTTTGTTACATCAAAAGAAGGTAATATGGTATGAGGAGAGTACCTGTATTATTGACATACGATTTTTAAGTACAGCACACATAGTTTTCTATATTAATTTTTAAACATTCGTTTCCGAGACAGCTGTTAGGTCATACGACGCTCTCAAAAATAACGTGGTTAGCTTCTGAGGTCTATATTTAGGTAACCTTTTCAAGTACGTAAAATTTGAACTAACCGTGTTTATATAAAGTATGGCTAGATTTGTCCTTATGTTTTATTAATTCATTGATTCAATACAGCCTACCTAGCTCAATGCTAAACCTTAAATCATCAATACGTTATCAGGAAGGTGATAATGCCCATCACCAGTTTCATTTCACTCTGCCGCCTAAAGACACCCACGGGATATGAGTTAGCGGATTTTCTTACACCGCCACTACACGGTGTATGAATAAAAAATTCTCAGAAAAGCGTTAATTACCTTTAAACGACGGCAAACTTAAATGTAAAAAAATTTAAACATCGATATTTCTCCGATCGCCATTTGCTCAAATATGAATGACAGTGGCCGGTAATTGGTAAAATTTTGTCAGTTGTAGTGACATCGATCTTGCATGTACTTGACCAGTAATAAACCTCTATAATTAAAGAAAAGTTCAAAGAAAAAGAAATGTACTATTTTAAATACATTATAAAATGTAAGTCACACAGAGCCGTAGTAGATTTCGTCATCAGATCATCACTCAAATACACGAGCATCTACTCTTATATTCTTTCACAATTTACAACAGTTTATTAATTTTTGTTTTCTTTTTAGATATTTTTGTATCTCGATTGTAATAAAAAATCTACTCGTATATCTACGTCCAAGGTCTGCACATCATCGTGAACATTAAACTTTATCGGCAATTTAGATGAGACAAAAGCAAACAAAATCCACTTGAGTGCTAATTAAGGTACTGCATGTTTACCAGTGAAAATAAACTTATAGAAAACCTGTATGTCCGTAAAGATAAAAAAGGTTTTGATGACATAAAATGACATTGACAGTTTGCCAATTTACACTGTAATCGTAGACGGAGAAACCTATAGACAAATTGACGCCTTCTTTCACATTCGCACACGAAAAAGATAGATTTATGCATACGTTTTGCATAGAAATGAGATAGAGCGGTGTGATTGTTAGTCCCTTTCTCCGTGCCGGTTTTTTGTTTAGCAAACTACACTTTGCTAAACAACTTTGACAGTTCGTAGCGATCTAAGGAGTTCACAAGTGTGTTTTAAGTGATAAAAAAGTGTTCTGTGAGCTTAAGATTGGTGAATGTTGTTCAGTTCAGTTCTTAAAACAATTAAAATTTTTATCTAAATATGTTTAAAAGTCATAAAGATTATTGTATAACCTAAAACTACGTTATCATCCTGTCTCACTCGAGGCCACGCTAATCATTATTCTGCAGGTTTCTCTGTCTACGTGCGGAACGTAGTGATAATCCAGTACATTACATAAGAAGCATTCGGCCTGTCTCTGCTATGTACTATGCATTGTTATCTGTTATCAAAACCGTGAATATATGTAATATCACAGAATAGATAATAGTACAATAAGTAATATATAATGATGAATATTTGTTACTTAGCCTTTTTTATAGAATAAGGATGACAAACAAGGGCAGAGTCCACCTGATGGTTTGACTTTTGAACTTGTTGAACTTTTTTCAAGGTGAACCCATTTTAATGATTATTTTTTTATTTGAAAGCGGGTGCTTCTCATATGCTCCCATATCTTGATCAAGATCTGACCAGGAATTTTTGAGTTATCGTCAATAGTGCGTTTTAATTGTCTTCGACTACATTGATGATGAAATAAAATGAGATATTAATATTGAAGTCGGTTGCACAAAAATTTTAAATTTACCACTTTTTTATATAGGATAGGATAACAAACGAGCACACAGTCCACCTGATGGTAAGTGGTTGCTGTGGCCCATAGGCATATACATATATCCTCGATTACGAATCATAATGCAGATGCGTTGTCATCCGTGAGGACTTAGGTGGAATGCCTCGTTTCCAGTAAAAAGGGTTTCCGGTTCTTTACACTCACCATACGAAACACAGCAGCAATAAGCTACTATTTTACGCTGGTACTCTGTGAGAGCATGGTCTTTCTCCGGTCGAGCCGACCCATTCGTGTTACAATGATACTACTAATATAACTGTAGCATGGCTCTACCACGTATAAACTTCGTTAACCTCGTTGTAGCTTGTCTTACTTCGATGAATAGGTTTAGAATGAAGGGATTTTGGACTTAATTGTGATCTGTGATAAAAAGTGAATTCTCTACGATAACCGCAAGTTAAAAACGCTATGGCAGAACCCAGGTCTAATAAGAAATAATAACAAATAAAGAAAGCTCAATTATTGCAAAGAAAAGATGGCTTTTCGAAGGTGACTCTATATTGTCAATAACAGCAGACATCTATTGTGAAGAATTTTGAACAATGGTAACGAAACTCAGAGAATCAACGATCACATCAATCAATTTTCATTAATATTGCTCAAAGATAAAGCAAGGCTGCTTGACAAACCGTTTTAAAATATAATATCTACAGTTAGAACCCAAACTCTTTCATAATTTAGATGTTTTCCTGCAATTTGTTTTTAGGAAGCGGAATAAATACTTCGATCTAATAAATATATTTATTCTTATAAGTGTTTGAATTTTTTAAATATAAAAAATTCAAACACTTATAAGATATAAGGTATTCTGTGAGAGCGTGGTTCCTCCCCGTTAGAGCCGACGCATTCGTGTTACAACTATACTACATATATAACTGCAGCACGTAAAAATTAATTAAAAATTATTTATAGAATAAAAGTAACTAACGAGCACACATTTCACCTGGTGGTAAGTAGATGTTGTGACACATAGACAGCTGCGTCCATCCATTATTTATAATCAAAAACCACATGCGTTGACACTCCCGAGGACTAATATGAAATGCCTCATTTCCAGTAAAATAGGTTTACGGATCACGACACTCACCATACGAAACACAGCAAAATTAAGCTGCTATTTTATGCTCTCCTAAATCCTTTACTATTTTAATTCTGAGTAATAATATACCGCGTTTGTCTAAAGGCCACATACATATCACCAAGAAGCCTGTGTACGCTTGTTTGTAACTTTTGCTGTCTACTCAAGGCGGTACGACTCCTTATCCTGCTTATATCCTTCTTATGCTTATCCTTTTTTACGTAATAGAGCCATGTTGCAGCTATATTGTACACTCACCGGCACGGAAACTTGGCCAAGCGGTTATCTCGCGATAGCAAAAGCTTTAAGTGTTTCTGATGAATGTTTGTTATGCAAGTATGTCAAAAAATGTTTACCCTCAAGTTCAAGAGGGTAATTCATTATGTTTAAGTGCACCATGACGAATTCTTTAATTTTTAGTTGAATCGGGTCATTTGAGCGACTAAGTTCACATTTTAAATTTGTGTGTTGTGAAAAGTTTACTGTAAGGTTATTCAATTATTGTGATCTTGTGTCTTAATTAAATAACTAAAGGTGCTTTAAAGCCAATAAAAATGCCATTAACACCAGCACAAGTTGCACAAGCAGTAGCATTAATTGACCAAGGGCTGACACAGCGTGAAGTTGCTATTGTGCTTAACGTACCACGGTCACGGTAATATTATCTATACAGTATTGTAACTCGGCCGTATCTTTGGAATAAATGCCTACAGCTGCGCGGTACGTAAACATGCGTTAGGGCTGCCTGCCTCCAGAAATTTAATTACATTTGTCTATTTTGTGTTTCCATTTAGTTTTGTGATTGTAAATATACTTTTTTTATAAACAAGTAAAATACTTTGTGAATGAATAAGAAGTGTTCAATAAAAATTCGGGTTGTTTTTTGATTGGTAGGTTTAATAAAAAGATCATGTTTGTGTTTAAATAACAAATCAGTCTTATAAATTTGCGACCGAAAAATATTTGCGCCTCGACTGAGACGTACGAAATGCTTTATTATTAAATTTTAAAGTATAAAAAATCCGCATTCTAATATAAAGCTTAATTAAAAATTGTTTTGGGAAACATGGACAAGGTTGAGAAAAAGGAATGTCTTTTACTTTGTCATAGATACCTGCAGCTACTTTACAATTTCTATTTTTGGTTTTAAATGAAGTTCGGAATATTTCTTCCATTTTTTCTATATGTTCCACAAAAGCATCGCTGGGTACAATCAAAAAAGTTTGAGAATTAATCTTACTGTAGTCCCGATACCTTAAATACCGACTCTCTGAGCTGAAATTGTGGCTTCTTTGATCGGGTTTCACATACGACTTCAAAGCGTGACAATCATGTTTCTCCAAACAACGCTTAAGAAGATACCCACAAATATAAAAAAGAGAATTTTTTCTGGCATATCTAGCTGATTGTAATCCGAACTAGTAATTTGGATGCTGGAAAATTCTTCATAATCTGTATTTAATATTTCGTTGGTTGATATCGGTAATGCATCGCTATCGGTAGTAACTTTTTCGTTCGTCGTTTGAACAAGAAGAGTTCCAAAATCATCTGCACAATTTCCGCCTTTTGGAGGTTTTATGATGCTGCAGAAAAATAAGTTTTTGAACGCCGATGCAAACTGTCTACAAGTCGGATTTAAAGCCGTGCCATTTTTCGTTCGTATTTGTCCGAATAAATTTTCAAGAGCGTCTTGATTGCATCTTCTTGTCATAAGAAAATTAAATCCTTCCACCCGCAAGTCATCGAACAAGAGCATTATGGATGTAATAGTTATTTGGAAACCATCGATGAATCTAACCCTCGATGTAACGTAATTGCCATTCTTTGGATTCTTTAATTTTAAATCTTTGAAAAAGCTTAACATCTGTTTAAAAAATACCTTTTGTGACTCATTGCCTTCATACGCTCTTTTATATTCATACTTATTTCTTACATTATATGTATTCAAAGAATCGAACAAATTATTCATCATCATTAAAAAGTTAGCCGTGTCTATACCGGATTCTTCAATTTCATTATTATCTATATACGTACGAATGCCATTTGCAACGGACTTGCTAAGAAGTTGTGTCGCATAGCAAACCTTCATTTTCTCGAAGTTTGTGGGTTTGATATGACTGTTGTTAAGTTTAGGTACAAGCCTTAAACTCTTTCTTATGTCCTGATTATAAAACTTTACAATATGATCATATTTCGCTATAGAATCACCGAAGTGGAAATCATATTGCATCAGGTTATTTCGAACGTTTTTAATTAGATGCGGTGCATCAAAAATATAATAAATTTTTCTATTATTCATAAAAAAATATGGTCTTTCAATTGAAACTGATCTTTGTTTGGCAGCTTTCCACAAATCAGACCCTTGATCGGACACAAAAATACGGACGTTAAGACCAATTTCGAATAACTTTTGCAGTACTTTATCAATCCATTTATTTATTTCTTCATAGTTTCGACATTCTGAAATTAATGCATATGATATAGGCTGTTTCCAATTTACAAATATACCACGAACCATTATTACTAATGCATTTTTAGCGGGTTCGGGAGATTGCAATCCTTCAATTTCGTGGAATCCGGTAATTTTGTCTTCTTTAATATTAAAGAATAGATGTGCTTTTAATGACATAGCATCAATCATAACTGAACAATTTTTTTCTACTTCCGTCATTTGTGCAACTTTTAATTTAAGGACAGACATAGCCCTGTCATTGATTTCAGTTGTAATTGGGAAAGAATGATTGTACAATGTTGAAGGACAGGGCAAACATAACGCACTTTGCAAAAACCGGTATGCTTGTGGGCTGATGTAGTATAAATTTAAACAGTAAATGATGTAGTCCTTATCATATCGATTTCCTTTACCATGTTGTTTTAGTTTACTATGGGATTTTATCAGGAGAGCTAGTTTGTCGGTCAAAAATTTATCGCAAAGTCGATGGAAAGTATTTTCTTCAGCTTTTTGTGTTTCATTTTCAGTTTCGTGTAATTTTAGTTTTTTTCTGCATTGGAAGAGTTCATCTTTCAATTTTCTTTTCCTTGGAGTATTGCTGGAGAGACTAGTTGAGGTTTGAGCAAAGATTTCATTCGTTGCATTTTCAGTCTGTGTACAATTTTCATTTCCTACCCACGGAGCAGTTTGTGTTTGTTTGTCTTCTTTTCGAGAGACTCCTGGATCGGTACAGGCTAAGCTTGGCAGCATCAATAATGGTAGGGCATTCTTTATTAAAAGTTTTCTATTTGACGATTGTAGTATATCCTCCAAATTAAAATGTTTTTCACAAACTCGGTAGGAAGTAAAGTTAGGTTTGTTTTTCAAATCATCTCGACAAATCAGTTGCAACCATTGAAGACGTCTGAAAAAAAATCCTTTTATAAGAAAAAATCTGCTGTCGCCTTACTGCCGCGTTACAAAACTCCAATCCTTACAAACTTCAACAACTACCTACTCAAATGCAAGAAACAGCTGACGAGTAATTTTAATAACTTTTTATCTCAGCGTATTAACTTCTCTATAAATTAGGTACCTACAACTCACAACAACTCAAAACTAAATTTCTTTGGCCACCGCCTATAACTACCTGTTTCACTCGTGTCAATCACTTTCCTTTACTCAATTTGCTTTATTTATTAATCTAGACATCTTTTTTTCGGGAGATAAAAGGAAATACTTATCCATTAAAAAGACACATTATATACCTACCTACTAGTAAGTAAAATTATTTTATAGTCTTACCTTTCAGAATTTCCGGGTAATCTAAAAAAAGTTATCTCTGGATGCGTTATCGACGAATTCATGCAACCAAAAAGAGCACAATATATTCTACTCGTCATATTAAATACGTAATTGAACTTATTTTTAGTTAAAAAAATCGTGTGGTTATTGTTAAGAAAAACAAAACACAGTCCGATCGTAACTGCGGCACAGTCGCGACTGTCTGCATGCCGAGCGCATGCCGAGATCGAGGTGCGTAGGTATAGCTTGCGCTTCGTCCGTTTGTATGAAGTTGGAATACTGTATAGATAATATTACCGTGCCACGGTCCTCAATGCAGTATTCACTGAAACGATACCGGGAGACAGGCCGCTACACCCGCAGGCCAGGCAGTGGGGGCGTAAGGTGCACATCGGCCCGGGACGATCGTTTTATTGTTATGGAGATTTTGAGAAACCGCTACCTGACCGCTGTTGAGATACGCTAGCGGCTCCAAATCGCAAGAGGCGTTAATGTTAGTGAGCGTACGGTGAGAAGACGAATGGATGAAGTGAATTTAAAAGCTCGTAGACCAGCACGAGGTCCAGAACTTCTCAGACAGCGCCGAGTAGCCCGACTTCAGTTCGCAAGAGAACATGTCAATTGGACCCACGAGCAATGGGCTAGAGTGTTGTTCACAGATGAGCGTCGAATAGCTTTACGTGCTCCAGACGGTCGAGAACGAGTGTGAAGAAAAAGAGGAGAGAGGTTTCTACCCATTACCACCACCCAAACTGTGAGTTTCCATGGAGGCTCAATAATGGTATGGGGAGGTGTAAGTTCCGACGCACGTACAGAGTTGGTCATCGTCGATAATCGGCTTACAGCTACTCGATACATCGAGGAAGTTCTTCAGGAGCACGTAATGCTTTATTCGGGATTCATTGGACACGACCAATTCCTCCTCATGCACGATAATGCACGCCCGCACGTCGCACATTGTGTAGAGGAATATCTGGAAGAGGTTGGAATACAAAAATTACAGTGGCCAGCTCGTAGCCCGGACTTAAATCCAATTGAGCATGTATGGGGTATGCTCAAAAGAAAAATAAAGTCCAGCTCCAAACCGCCACAAACTCTAAATGAGCTCCGAAATGCAGCGCTGGCCGCTTGGGACAGCATACCGCAAGTTGATGTCAGAAACATCATTCAAAGCATGCCAGATCGAATGCAAGCGGTTATCAGGGCTAGAGGAGGAAACACCCGATATTAAAACTGATAGACAATAAAGAAACAGACTTAATTTTTAACTTTGTAGTGTTTTTAAAGTGACAATGGAAAGATGTTAATTTTAGTGAAAACATGTTATCTTGAAAAGAAAAATTTCGGTGAAGTAAACATTAAATTTCTATGTTCTAAAATCATTAGAGACACTTATTGAATGCATCTACCCTTAATTTACTGTTAAAAAAACGTTTCAGTGCAAATAATCAGCAAATTCACTAGTGGCCAAGTTTCCGTGCCGGTGTGGTAGTTGCAGCACGAATGGGTCGGCTCGACCGGGGTAGGAACACGCTCTCACAGAATACCAGCGTAAAATAGTAGCTTAATGCTGCTGTGTTTCGTATGGTTAGTGTAGAGAACCGGAGACGCTTTTCACTGGAAGCGAGGCATTCCATCTCAGTCCTCAGGACTGGCAACGCATCTGCATATTGAGTATTAATTGAAGATAAATGTAGATGTCTATGGGCCACAGCATCCACTTACCATCAGATGGACTGTGTGCTCGTTTATCACCCTTATTCTATTTTTAAAAAATCTACCTGAGGGTTCGTACCACAGTCTATTTATTTCTTCCGACAGTTCTTTACTGCGTGCCGGCTGGTCACTCTGGTCTGAAGGGTGTAAAGAGTTGACATAATTACGTGTTCAGAGGTGACGACGCATCTATATCCTTGTATGTTTTAAATTGGCTGCAGATGTCTATAGATTGCAGCAGCCAGATACAATCAGGTGGACAGTAAGTTCGTAGATCACTTCTGTGTTAAAAAAAATCTTGAAGAACTATTATACCTAGTGAGAGAAGAGTAGAAATAACCTTCATACTTTCCACAGCTGACCTAGCTACTAAATGGGTACTGACTTTTCATAGGGTTTGGAGTATATAAGAGCCTCAAGAGCATGCACGATGTTTTCACCGTTTGATAAATGAGCACTTAAAATTGGTGATTAAGAATTTCAATGGTGACAGTCAAAGTTTTGGTCGGGTTTCTGATACACGATAAAAATATTTGAATGTCCTCCAGACCGAATTTAGATCATGGTAGCTAGTTTTAACGGAGACTACACTCTCGTAGTCCGATGTAACGGCAATCCCACACGACCGGAAAGAGATCAGGCGCAGGTTCAACGGATTTACGCGTTTCCGAGACACGGGGCGAAACACCGCCAACTTCCTGACTGTAGCCTAAGAATTTCCTGACAGAAAAACTAAACAACTGATTTTGATCTAATCTGGTATTCGAAACCGGAACTTCATGATCATACAACGAAGCAGTCGTGTACAATGGAATCTGAGCCGAGAGTGTAACGTATTGCATTCACCACTTGCTTCTCAATACACGAAACCACACGTTGCAAGGCGACAACATTACAAATTGCACAAGCCTGGACCTAATGTTCACTATTTAGTGTCACGTAACACGTGACATTGTACGTTGACCGTAGTGAAACGATCGATAAGACGCGTCGAGGCGAAACATGAGAACTAATTTATTGATAGAATTCGATTTGTGAATAGAATTTGAGTATTTCCGCCTGTCATATGCGAAGTGAGGCTTTCATCAGCAGATAATTACACGAGATATATTAAACGGATAAAAAAAAAACAAATTAATGAACATGTAATATTAATTTATTAATAATAAGATATGTGAGGGTAATATAAGACACCCAACCAAGACAGACAGAGATAAAAACACAAAGTTGTATGCTATAACTAATAAATTAAGAAAATAGCAAACAATCTTTGGAAACAATTAGGAACACATCGAAAAACGAATTTAAAAAGAACTAACTACACTTCACAATATTATGTACTAAAATCGACTAAAATATTTAGGTACTATAATATCTACTGTCAAAATGGCGTCGATAAAGCAACGCCATTTTGACCCTTTATTATTTGATGGACGGATGAGCGTATCGTATCACAAAGCTATCTATACAAACAAGGTATTTTTGAGTTATAATAAAGTGACCATATTAACCGGATGACCATATTACCCTCACGTACTATATCTAGCAGAGGAATAAGTGTTTCACACACTGAATTACTTTGATATGGCATGACTGCCTCGTTGGTTTAGTAGACGTAAACGCTGTTACTGATCGTGGGGTCCTGGGTTTATCAAGAAATTCTCAGTAGCGGCTCGGAGTCAGGAAGTTGGCGATGTTTCACCTCACGTGCCTCGGAAAGCACGTAAATTCTTGCTACAGTCAGAGTATAGCTTCAGCGTGACTCTACCAAATGTGAGAGATATTTTGTGTATACTGTCTTACAAAAGTACACCGGTCAGCTGTTGTTTTAAGAATTTATTGGTATTATAATAGAACTGACCTGTTTATATTTCTTTTATTGTGGCATTGGCTAAAAGGCGTTGAGCCATAAAGAATACACCAAACGCTGCAATTCATTGTCCAATAAATAGATATATAAATATAGTACATGAGGTTAATATGATTATCCGGTTTACATGGTCACTTTCTTATTACGCAAAAACTACAGCCAACATAAGCTCTCCACCAGTCAATCAAATAATAAAATATTAAATAGCGCTGCCTTAACGACGTCATTTTGACAGTTGGCATTATAGTAATTATTTTAGTTGATTTTAGTATTGTGTAGTGTAGTTAGTTTCTTAAGTTGATTTTTTATTGCCAAAGCT